ACAAAACGTGATTTTTCAATATAGTCACCTCCATTAGCTATGCATTTCCACCAGCAATGAACAAGAGCCTGCATGCCACGCTCGTAAAAATCTGCATGGCTGTCCATAATGTAGCTTGTCTTTCACATCCCTGTCACCACAGCTGAAACAAATCATCCACCACCACCTCACTGTGCTGAAATCTACCATTCAGTCTCCATAGATGTTCAGCAAGAATCAGTCAATGTCAACGAGTGCTATATTTTTTTTTTGGCATGGAAGAATTCAGCCAGCTCACAAGCCTTGCTGCCTTTTCTTCACAATACTTCCCTCTTCCTTTTAGCACCACCTCACTATTTCTTTCTCTCATGACACGTGCTCTTTGCAATCTGTTTTTGTCCCAGCAACCTCAAGATCTCAAACCAGGGACTTTCCTTATGTTTGCATAAGCTGACCCGTATAAATAATCTCTTCACAAGGACAAAGTGTTCTTTATTATTACAGTAAGAGCATTTCCCCAAAAAAACTGGTTTTGATCCATGTGGTTTTCTTCTCATAAAAGGCGATGGACACGTCCCTGGTGCTGTGTGGAGAGAGGGCAAATTTTCCTAGACACTTGGGAGCTCAGATTATGGAATTTAACAACACAGCTCACTTCTAAAGGATGAATTTCTTAGATATCTGATGTAGACGCTTTCATATGGCTACAATGAGTTTATTTGCTTCCTAGGCCTAAGTTGTTTGAGAAATTTCTGCTAACATTCTGTGTTTGAAAGCAGTCCCACTTGTACCACACTTGTATTTGTGTGGAAGTGGTATTTCTGTCACTTTACAATTTAGCAGTAGGGGTCTTCAAGCCGAATTTGGGCTGGATTTCCTCTTTTGTTCTCTCGTGATATTGGATTCTTCTCTTCCTTCTTTTCTACACACTGACAGCCTTCACTCTCCTCCTTTCTTGAACCATGCGATCCAAGTCTTGCCTGGAAAGCTGCCATTCCAAACAAACAAACAAACAAACAAACAAAAAACCCTAAGGACATGCCTGCAATGCAATGGGACTTGTTTTTTCTCTTCTTTAGGTACATTCAAACAGAAATCTCAACGTACGATATGGACCTGTCTAGCCCAGAAAAATGCCAGCTGCCTTGGGGCCACTACTTGCCTTTCTCCTTGTGTTCCAATTAGACCTTTTCACAGAATCAAAAGCAATCTTCTGATGCTGGCCTGAAGATTTGAGGCAATGCTGTAGGATCATTTTAAAAAACAATCCTAGACAAAAGTAGATAGAAGCTCCTTGATTTGTGCTGGTTCCCTTGCAGCTATTCCTGCCCCATCCAACCCACAAATGGTTATTTAATTGGTGACCCAACCCATACAGAACAGGTTCATCCATCTCCTTCTGTGACAGAATTATAAAATGTTACAGCAGGCTGCAGTGTTGTCAGCATCAATATTTCACATCATTAGAGGAGGTTGCCAAGTATCTTTGGCCTTGCATTATTGATGGTTTAATGAATAGACTATTTTTTCTTTGAGAACATCTGTTTAAGTGCAGTCCTTACCCCGTATGAGGTAGTTCAGGGCTCTCAGATAACTGTCATCCTGTTGCTGAATCAAACTGGTAGTTAAGTATCTATTCATCTCACACAGAAGGTCAGTATTTTCTTTGCAACCCAACTGACACAAACTCTGTGACAACTTAATATCAGTGTTTATCATGTTTCTGCATCTTCAGGCCTGGAACCAAAGTTATTTTAACTCAAGATTGTTTGTGAGGAAGCTTTTTTGCCAAAGTTCCATTTTGGCAGGAAGATAAACCCTCCTTTTTTAATTTCATATCATTAAGCTGAATACAGCTATTCTAAAGTTCTGTGGGGTTTCTTTCTGCCTGATGTGTTCTTTTATTGCAAAGCTGAAGACAACCACAGGCCAAGAATCATCTAATAAAATGATGGAGCATTCTCCTACCTGGGTATTTCTTTTATAAAATCACTACACCTGAAAATGTGACAATGCATGTAAGCTTGAAACAATCCTTCCTGGAGCTCCCAGTGTGACATTTTAAATTTGGGAACAGCTGGTTTTTCTGTAATGTAAGAACACCACACCCAAACAATTGGCTTAAAGGACAAAATTCTGCCTTTTCTCTTTGGGCACTGTATTTCCTTGTCTGTGCATTTGGCCAAAGACATTGGGCTTCCTGAATCCACAACCAGCCTGAGTGACACAAAGCATTTCTGCAGCCAAATGACTCTTCACGGTCTGAGTCCCCTCAGCCCTTTATCAGATTGGTCCAGATGAAGGAATTAGAGAAATATTTGAACAGTGGATATTTACCACGCTCATTAGAAAGCAGAAGGGGAAAGAAACTCAGCAACTTGAGCAAACACCATTTTATGTAATTGTCTGAGATTTTTTTTTTTTTAAATTAAACAGCTTAGCTGTCACTGAGATTTGCCTGAGGGACAACTGTGGATGAGTTACACAACTCAGCGTTCATTCATCAACTAATTCTCTGCAAAACCATATGGCTCCTCGCAGGGATTTCTTTAAACATTCTGCAAGGATATGAATTGGTGGCTTTGTAGATGTTGAGCACGTTGCTCGAGGCTCATTTTGAAATGCTGTTTCTAGACATTAAAGCAATGGTATTGTTGCAAGCAGTAGCCTAATAGAAAGCTGTTGTTTAGGCACTTTCAATCAAATAAAGAAAAGAAATAGAAAAATAAGAAATATTGAAAGAGTAAACATCTAAACTTTGAAGATGAACTATGCTGCTGTATGTGGTTTTCTCATGCAAATGTAGGATGTGTAGTTTACTAGATAGAAGCCAACAAGGAAGAAGAAACATTATAAAGTAAAATGGTCTCATTAATCAAGTCAGATATAAAAGAACCATTGCAAAATGTATGCATGCATATGGTGCAGTAAATTTATTTGAAAATATGAGTTCATTACTTTAGGTCACTCTGAAGTGCATCAGGGCACCTGCCAGATGGGAAAAGACAAATGTCACATAGGAAGGGCTGCTTGTACACAAGTCTTTTGCACGAAGTATGAGAGGTTTGGTCTGCACTGTAATGCTGGTGTTTGTGGTCTGGAGACTTGGGGTGCTTTGGTGGAACTGCAAGCAGTAGTAATGCAGTGATGTGCATCAAGAGCTTCATTGTCTTCCCTCACTCAGTGACTGGGATTAAATTTGCTCCCTAGTTCAAAGCAAAGTTTCTGGTACTCTGAGTTTTTAAATCCCATTTGGCATCTCTAGTTCTTAAGAGGAGAAAAACATAGGACATAATTATAAGAGGAATTCGGTGAGTATCACAGATGAATTTTTCAGGCTTTTTTCTTTTTTCCTTTGAAATCATTCCAGAGTATTTTCTAACCTCACCCTATTTGGGACATTCTTCATAGCCGTGCCCAGCACAGATCTTGCAGGCTAGAATTCTGGCCGGGAGAAATTTTGACATTTGCACCCTGTTTACAAGTTGGGGAACTCATGTGGATAGAAATTCAAGAGCTCACAGGAGCTTTTTGCTGCTGCAATATCAGGTAGACCTGACAGATCACTGTAAAAATTTACTAAGGAGATACCGATTTTTAGTGACAGCAAGTGCCTGTGCACTCTGCCAAGCTCAGCTCATCTGAGAACAGAGCAGTTTGTTCATCTGCATTGTAATTATTTTATACAACAGGTGCATTCATCTCTATCCCCATATGTCAATGGATTACTTGCAGTGTTTGTCAAGCTCTGAGCTTCTATAGAGGAAAATGTCTCTTAAGTACAGTTCTGCTGTAATTCTTGCCATGAAAGTCCTGCAGATGAGCTTTATTCACCCTTCAGGGAATAGCTTGCTTCTGTTTGGGAGTACCCTTTTGCTAGTCTTTACCTATGAAATACTCCACAGACATCCTCCTGTTCGAGAGCTGCAAAGTTGGTGCCATGACTGAGGGCTGCTTTCCTGCCTCCTTTGCTTTATTTACCCCTCGTTTTGCTTCAGGAAGGCAACAGAGAGAAGAGGCTGAAGTTCTGAAGGCCTCAAAGGCAGAAGGCCACGCAAAACCTGGTATTTAAAACCAGAATGCCGTGCTGTTCCTCCTACACTTCTTGTTGCCTTCTACATGGAGCTCATTGCACCTTGGAGGGCCAATGGTAACCCGGGCTCCATCAGAAGAGGGGTGGCCAGCAGAGACAGGGAGGTGATTGTCCTCCTCTATTCTGCCCTTGTGAGGCCCCTTCTGCAGTACTGTGTCCAGGTCTGGAGCCCCAGTACAGGGAGGACGTGGAGCTCTGGGAGCGGGTCCAGAGGAGGGCACTGAGATGATCAGAGGGCTGGAGCAGCTCTCCTGTGAGGAGAGCATTCAAGGCCAGGTTGGATGGGGCCCTGGGCAGCCTGGTCTGGTGCCACATCTGGAGGCTGATGCCCTTAGGGTCTCTTCCAACCCTAGGCACAAGGAACAGCAGCAGTTCACACTGCAATTAGCCCCTTGGTCACACCCAGCATGTTACACGGGGTGGGCACAAGGCAGGACTGTGGGTTCAGAGCTGTGTCACCTCTCACAGGTTTGGGATGTGGGCAACCAGAGCAGCAGTGCCTCAGGAGGGGCATGCGCTGATGTCAGTGAGCGTGCCAAGACATCATTTGATGTCAGGGGAGATTCAGGCTGGACGTTAGGAAATACTGCGTTTCTGGAAGAGTGGTCAGGCAGTGGAACGGGCTGCACGGGGAGGCGGTGGAGTCACCGACCCTGTAGGCGTTCAAGGAACGTTTGGATTTTGTGTGGAGCAACATGGTTTAGTGATTGGTGACAGGTGGGGGGTTGGACTGGGTGCTCCTGCGGGTCTTGTCCAGCCTCAGAGATTCTACGATTCTATGGTTCATTTCTCTTCCACACTGTTGAACAGCCCTCAGGCTCCACACACACAAAACACCCGGGCTCGGCCCCTTTAAGAACTCCCTCCCGCCCTTGCAGGCAGCGTGACGTCACGCGTGCGCAGCGCGCGGTGATGACGTCAGCGGCCCCGAGACGGGGAAGGAGGGAAGGAGGGAAGGAGGGAGCCCTGCCGCTCCGGCGCAGAGATGGACCTGCGGCTGGCCCAGCTGGTGGAGGAGCTGACCACGGCGGGGGAGCCGCAGCTGGAGCCGGGCCGGCTGAAGGAGCTGAAGAAAATATGCAGGTGAGGAGCTGGGCCCGCCCCCCTTCAGTTCATTGATGGCGGTGGCTGAAAGCGCTGCGCGTGCACAGCTGCGGTGATTGCCCTCCTAACCGTTCCCTCAGGTCGTCGGAGGAGCACCTGAGCCACGCGTACCACCTGCTGCTGACCAGGCTCCACGAGGAGCACGCCGAGATGCGCTTCTCCGCCTTCCAGATCGTGCAGGAGCTCTTCTCCCGCTCTCACCGCTTCCGCACGCTGCTCGTTTCCAACTTCCAGGAGTTCCTGGAGCTCACGGTGGGGACGGACCACGAGCAGCCGCTTCCCCCGCCCCGGGAGGTGGCCCAGAAGCTGAGGAAAGCGGCCATTGCGGCGGTGCTGGGCTGGCACGAGAAGTATGGCGAGGCCTACAAGAAGCTGTCTCTGGGATATCACTACTTAAAGCAGAACAAGAAGGTACTCTGCGTTTTTACTGCCCTGTGTGTGTTTGGGGATTGTCTCGAGGAGGTGCTTTCCTCACTTTAAACAATAAATGTGAAAGGAAATCAGTTGGAAGCAAAGTGTCTTCAAGAGACTTCCCAAAGAGGCAGCCCCCAGCCTGGCCCGAACTTCCTTGGACTTATGGTGATTGTTCCCACCTGAAGCAGAAACCCTCTCCTTAAGGTATAAGGTACTAACTCTAGCAAATGCCTACTGTTTTACATAACGTGTTTTCAGAAGGCTTTTCTGAACCTGAGATGCCTTTAAGAAAAATACAGGTTGCCCTGAGAGGTTGTGGAATTTCCTGCTCTGGAGATATTCAGGATCCATCCAGGTGCTTCCTGGTGTGAGCTACTGCAGGGACCCTGTTTTAGCAGGGGGGTTGGACTGAAGGATCTCCTGAGGTCCTTTCCAACCCCTGCAATTCTCTGTTCCTGTGTGATTTGTTCCTTTGGTAATAACATGAATGCAAGACAGAGTTGCACAATTCACCACACACTCTGACGACATATTGTAGTGCTGCTCAGAAGCTGAGCTGAGCTCTCTGCTGCTCCCCAGGCAGATGTGCTTTTTTCAAAACCCAGCACCTTCACCAAGAACACTGTATTGTTTTCTGGGATTCTTTTCCTTTTGGACTTCCTAAACTTCCCAGCTGAACATTGTATGTGTGCCACTTATGATTCAGTGACTAAATATGCTCAGATTTAGTACTGAATACTGATCAGATAGAGAAAGTGAGGAAAAGAGCTGTCCCAGCTCCAAACTAAGTTGCAGTGTGTCAGAAATACAATGGAAAAATGTACTTGTGGGAAGGGCTGAACTGTGTAAATAACTTTTTTTAAAGTCATTAAAGAAAAACAAAATAACCAGGAGTGAAAATTAAGGACGCATCCAGAGTCAAATAGTGGAATACTGGGATGGTTGGTGGTCGTTGTTGTTTCTCTCTTAGTGTGGTTAAAAGGTTCTAAAACCCTAGGCTTGAAAGAAGAGCTGGACCCAACCAGTGCTTTCTCAGTGTGCAAACCAGTAGAGCTCCACCCACTGATTGCTACTTGGAGCCCCACAGTCCAGCTGCTTTAGAATGGAAATCAATACTTGCACTTTTAGCTGATGATTCACAGATAGGAAGTCTTTCTGTGAAAGCTGAAAATACCTTTCTTTCCATACTGAGCAGTGCTGTTCTGGTTTCATTTCAGAGTACAACACAGAAAGTGTAGCTGCTTTCTTTAAATAATTCCGTATTGTCTTATGTTAAAGAAAAAAAAGAAAAAAAAAGAAACCAGTGAGGGGAAATGCAGGACAAATGCAGGGGATCTCTAACGCATAACACAGATTCAATAGACTGCATGCTCAAATATACAATAAGTCAGCTGAGGTTTGGTGTGTTTATCTGCACTCCTGCAGTCAGTTTGCTCCTGCCTTACGACTTTGGGTGTTCACTTCATGCCCTTGTGATACTGAGCAGTCCAGCAGAAGTGGCTGTACTGTTATTTTTTTTTTTTACTGCACCTGAATACTTCTGGAAAGAGTTCCAAGAGAAGCAACTGAATCTCAGCTCCTGAACATAAGAGCTAATATTGGTGTAGCCAGCCTTTTGTCATCTTAATACATGAACTGCAAGAGACAACAAAAAGACCTGAGGAGGCTTTAGTACCTTTTAGAAATCAGGTGCATCTGCTGTTTGATGTTACAGCTCTGGCACAGTATGGAGCAGTTTGAGGACTGTTAGAGTCTTACTTTTCAGATTACCATCATCAAAGTTGGTCAGAAGATGATCACTGCAGCCCATCTAAGGTATATACTCAGGAAACAGTGTACTGTTTTATCCTTAGTAAGCTGAAGTTATACCTGTATGAAGGTCTGACTTTAGGAACAGAACATATTTTGGCATATCAGAAGACAACTTTGTGGTGGTTTCTTTTGTTGTTTCTTTTTTAACAAATCCCTGTGTCAAATTTCAAAAATGAAGCAAGAAGAAATATATATGTATGCGCACATAAGTATTTTCAGCAGTATTTTTTTTATTCTGGGAAGGCACAGATGGGGTTGCAGATTAAGTGTGAATTATAAACTGAATGTGACTTTGATAGACTGAGAGTATTAATGCTGAATTCCAATATTTCCCCAAATTTGCAGTGTTTATTGCTGTGTAGGCACACTAGTCTGACACCTTTTAAATCAAGAAGAGTTGTTTGCACCTCATCACGTCCAGCTCCAATGTTCATTACAGACTAATAGCGAAAGGCTCCATACGTCTTGCTCCAGCACTGGAGCTGAGTAGTGTCCCTCTGTGTTGCCTGAATGAGGTTCTTAGATATGCTCTGTTCTGACCAAGTTTCTGAGTGCTGGCTCATCTAGCAGCGACAATAAAGACAAATGTTCAGTGGGTGCTTGTAATACAGGCACAGTGCACAGAGGGTGCAGCCCTTATAAGCAGCAAAGGATGGGCTCACTCAGCCCTCAGCATAATCCATAATGAAATTAATGAAAGCTATGTGGTAGCAGTCAAAAGGAAATAACTACATTTCCTTTTCAAGTGATTTTTCTTATGGAATAGCACAACTCAGGATTCGTTTCCTTAAAATAGAAGTGAAAATACGTAGATTTTCAAACCCTTCTAAGAAAAAAAAAAAAACCTACAATTTTAAAAGAAACTGTTTTGCATCACTCAGATTTATGTTTATGTTTTAGTCATAAGAAAGTGAGACTGCATGATATCCTTTCCCTCAGTCAATGAATCCAACAAATAATTTAAAAAAAAAAAAAGCCATTGATTTTCAGCAGTCCCTTATTAGTAGAAATAAAACCTCCATTCAGAATTTCTGTAGTTATTGATTTCAGGAGGAGAGGAGATAAAAGGAAGTACTGCTGAGCTTCTGGATGATTGCTTACGTTAGAGGATTTTTCACCACTGATAAGGATCTTAGGAAATGGATTTTCTATGTACTTCTTACAGAGAATGTTGTACTTTTTTCTTCGTTTCCTTAGGTGGATTTTCAGGACGTGCATGCAAGAACAGTGGCTGAAAGGAAAAGGGAAGAAGAGAAGCAAAAACGATTGGATAACGTTTACAAAGAAAAAGCCAAAAGAGCTGAAAAAGAAATGGCAGGTGATGTGCTTTGACTTGGGTGGGTTTGTTGTTAAAGCAATTTTTTGTAAGGTTGTATAAACCAAATTCCAGCAGAATGGATATCCAAATAAGAGCAAACCTCAGTGTACAGGAATAGTACATTTGTTAGTGCTTCACTCTGTCTCTCACCTAAAGAATGTCAAGGCAAATGAGTAACAGGTCCCATAAGGCTCAAGTAGAATGAGGAGATATTAAAAAAAAAAAACAGCAACTTACAAATGTCTGGTCAGTAATTCATAAGGTGTGAATGCATACCTTCATGCACATGTATGAAGTTGGACTTGGTGATCCTTATGAGTCTCTTTGAATTTGGGATATACTGTGATATCAGGAGCAGTTCTGGATCTCGTGGCTTAATTACTGTGTCTATGGTTAGGTACAGGCTTCTTGACTGATGACCTCAGTTATACTGTATATGCATCATGTATGTTCCAGGAGTTTGGGCACAAGTCTGCGCAGCAATCCTAGATGCAGTATAGGAAATCTGTGAGAAGTGTTATGTTGCTGGGAGCTGAATCTCTGAACATGTACACAGCCAGCATATTCCTGCCGTATTTAAGAACAGACGTAGTGTAACTATGATTCTCTAACTAAGTTGTAGTTGGGAAGGATTATTTATCTCAATTGCTTCAGTTTGTGCAATGAATGCATTTGTGTCTGCCTTTATTCTACATGGTGCAAATGTTTTCACACATGGAAAAAAGAGATTTAACCTTTTAAAGTCAGCTTTACTGATAGCATCTCTTAGCTATGGCATATATTCACGGGTGCACCTGCAAACAGCTGTAACATTTGTGGCTGCAGAATGAGCACCCAGTGGCATTACCAAGGATACCTTGTTTCTTACCAGTACTGTTCTGCTTCGAATTTATTGAAGTATTTGAGTCACCTTTTTTTGATAGACAGTGAAATTTTAGGGAGGATAGGAAGGGAGGAATGCTGGTCCTAAATTCGTTGTTCAGGAAGTTCTAGAGATCCTGTTTAAGAGAAGATCCTGTTTAAGAGAAGTATTGACTCTCTTCTGAGGACCGTCCCTGCACTGGAAATAAATATGTGTGGATAAACTGTGACTGATTACTGGACAAATGGATTCTTTGGCAGTAGTGTTTGTTTTGTAGATATACCTGTGCTCAGGAGTCAGCACTGCATGCTGTTTCACAAAGTTCTGAAACAACTCTCTCTTGATAGAACTGTCCCAAGAGGTTGCTGAGACACTGACAGAGATGGAGAACTGTTTCCGGCTTCTGTTGCCAGATCCTTTTGACTTCACTGTGAGCAACACAGGACTGGAACCCAATGAACAAACGAGTGCTGACAAGGATAGATCTGCATCCTCCTTGTCCTCATGTGTGGGATGTGTGGATGATGAACAGCCGTGCTGTAGCAAGGACATTCTTCCTGTTTCTCAGTGTGTCAGAACGGATCAAAACAAAGAGTTAGGTGACAAACAGAAGAAGCCTGAGCAAAATATATTAGATGGAGACACGTGCTCTGAGGTTGAAACTGGTGTTCCTGTTCTTGGTGATGATGATTATGAAACTTTTGTCAGGAATCATGGACTGATTTCTCATAAGTATACTCTAGACCTTGAACTCTCTACAGGTACTGCACCAATTTTTCACAAAGAGCTGGGGATAATCTTTGCAATGCTTTGTAGTTTGTTTTTTTCCTTTGCTTGTTTGTTTTTGCTGTGACTTCAGCATTTGGGGTCCCTGGGCATCATTTTGATTTATTTTGGCCTTCCTTTCTATTTCTGCCCCATTTAGCAGCCTTTCTTAGTTTTGGATGTTCTTGTATGGGATTTACAGATTTCATTAATTTCTGAAACTAAATGTTTGTATTAGTTGTAAACACATTACTACACTTCATAGTACATGTGATTTTTCCTGTGTTTAGAAACAAAATGATTTACTTACTGTATATAGTATTTTATTTCAGCACTTCTTTCTTTCTCATTGTAACATGGGTAAAAGCTACTGATTTAAACATATTGATATTGGCTGTTTCTTAATCTTCTCTTTGTTATTGACAACTTGCAGGAAACAGCAGAGTTTTAACTTAAGAGTTGTGATTAGACCTTTCTATCTAACTTTGTTAATAAGAATTGCGGATAGAAAAAGTCTGAGTATTTAGGGCTTTTCACTTTTTTCCAAATGAAATCTCTTACAAATACTGTCCAATTGGAATTTCAAGTGCATGAGGCTGGTGAGATAGCTATGTACTTTGCTTGCAAGCAACAGAATTGAAAGTTACCCTTGGGGCTGATGAGCATCGAACTGGTGCAAAATACCATTTACCATTCTTACTTGTGTGGTGGCAGACTTGGCTTCTTCGACAGTCAACCCCTTTTGGGATGGAGGCCCTAGGAACATTTCATACTGAATAAGCACGAACTGGTCCATTAGGGCCTGGTTCATTTATTGGAACATAGGACAAGATATAATGTAAATAGTAAAACTGCACTGGTTTTGGTTTACTTCGTGTGATGGCGTAACAAATCCTTGTCATCACTGACCTGACAGCTTTTCATCTTTTCCTTTTTGAATGTGGATAACAGAATATATAATAATCAACATCAAATAGTTTAGAAAAAAATACTTTATGTACAATCATATTATTATATGTGTTGTTTATGTTTTTATGCTTTATGTAAAATACTTTAGAGAGGTTAATGGGTACTTCTACTCAGTGTTTACAGTATCCTGGCTACTTGGTTACAACTAACTGTTGTTTTCCTTTATTGGAGCAGATATCAAAGTGCATGAGAACGAAGACAATACTGCTGTAATAAACAGTGTTGTGGATGCTCACAAACTCGTCAGAAATAAGTTCTTGCCTTCCGTGCAGTCCTGGATTCAGGTGGGGTAAAGACCTAATTTCTTCATTTCCGTGAAAAGATGGACTAGGTGCTGGGAGGCTTGAGAGAGAGAGAGAGAGGAAAGAAATTAAGGTTGAGAGAAACATTGGTGCAAATAGAAAAGAAGGTTGCTTGTTCCATAGGGATGTACAGAAGGAGACTGCAGGAGCTACAGACGTTGTTTGATGGCTCAGTGCTCGGTGTGCTGCCTGCAGACACATTAAAATAAAAAAAAGTAGGCATCTAAGAAAATACAGCTTCTTCACAAAGTATTTAAGTAAAACTTGGTATGTTTTCATCAGACATGTCTGCATCTGAACACTGTCTTTTCTGCCAGTTGATATTTGCAGGAGCCTCGTGCAAGAAATATGGCCTGCCAGAGGGCATTATTAGGAGATGTTTATAGCAACTGCTCATTTGTTATTCATCTTCAGTGGTTGGTTTTAGGTCTTAAATTCTAGTTGGGGAAAGAAATGCATTGACAAATTGTTACGTGTAAAATAAAAGAATTTGTGACATTTTTCCTCTACCTTATGTGAGACAACAAATAAACAAGTGCTTTTTGCTCTGGTGATAGAAAAAGAATAAGAATGTAGATTTTTTGCTTTGCAGTTATTTACCCGAGCAGGAATAAACGACGATCGGTTGAGATGTGCCATTGATCTTAAGAATAAACTGGAGGCTGCTCTGAGGAAATACAAGGAAATGAACATTACTTTTAAAGAGAGAAAAAGAAAAGTGGTGAGTTTTTGAAACTTCACTTACTAGAGAGGACTGTTAGTAATACGTGGCTACTTGGCTTGTATACAAAAACGCACTCTTTCTTAAACCTCATTCTGGCAAACTTTTCAATGCAGGTTTAATTTATTCACAAATTCATCAGCTAAAGAAGTTGAGCTGAGAAGCTACTATAATCAGGAGCTGTTCTTAGGCAAAGCCATGTAAGGTAGCGCTGTTGGTTTTTATTGTATAAGGTTGGTTGGATAAGGTTAGGCTTGGATTTTATTTACTCTTAGTTTCTTCATATGCAACATTATGTCCTCATCTTCCTTTGTGCAGATACATATTTCTCTGGAAATGCTGTGTAGCTATTGTTCTTTTATGACATACAGAACTTTGCTAGTGTCTACAGTTACAAAAGCAGCATTTCTGCTTTGTAGTGTTTACTTCCTATAGTAGGCAAGTAGCATGACTAAGGACATCTTGAAAGAATTAGTTGTTTTATAAAGCTTTAAAGTGTCAGAAGATGACAGATTCTGGGAAACAGGCAAAGCTAATGAATAAATGGAGGATGAAAGATCAAATGCTTTACTCAAATCCAGTCCAGACTCCTAAAAGGAGTCTATATCATGTTTATGTATCTAAAGCAAAGCTCCACAATGCTCCTTTATGCTGCTTGAGATCCAGCTAAATTACTGTGGAGTTGAACACACAAATAATGTTTTGAGCCATGGTTTATGACTGGATTGTAAGAATTTGATCCAGATGTTATACCTTGGATTAAACTGTAGTATCCTGGTTTAGCCATGACTGAGTGTTGCAGACTTTGCTTTCCTTGTGCAAATGAAGCCTTATTAAGATTAATTTGGTTCGTCATCTTAGTACTACTGACGTACCACATCAGTCAAAAATGTCAACTATGAATGGAAAGTACTGTAAGACTGTCTTGTCAGGGTTATTTTTTCCCTCAGTGAAATATGTGTGCTACCTTAATGCAACCAGCTATGAAGGAATCCAGACATCTGCTGTCATTCCTGCCATTTGCTTGACAGGACTTCATTTGCTGTACCTCTGCGTGGAATATTGGTTGCAATATTTCTTGCAAGGTATAAAGGACGTTCAAGCCTTGCTTTTCGTGTGTGTGTGTGTGTGTACATGTGTATGTGTTTGAAGTGGTATGTTACCACTTCTGGAGATTGATCAATGCTATCTATGTAGGGTTGAAAGATAATAAATTGTACCATTACAACTGCAGAAATAAAGGAGAATGCATAGCAGTATTCACAACGAGTACATTCAGAATGAAGCAGTGTTTATTGAAGTATTAACTTATGCACTGAAAATTACATGTAATTGGTTTTATTTTCTTTCCCAGTGGAAAATACCCAAATTTCATTTTAGTGCTGATTTAATTTAATTTATAACCTGAACAAAGAGAGCTGTGTGCTGTAGAATGAAATTGTTTAAATTGTCTTTTCATCACGTGACAGTTGAGTTGTTTGAAACTTATGAACATGGTAAAGGGAGAGACTGATAGAAACGCTGTTGCTTATTTTCTTCTTAGACTGTGATTATTAGCTCCCAATCTGTCAAGTATTTACGTGCCAGCATATGAAATATTACACTCAGCTCCTACTTAATCCAGCATTGTTACTTACATTACATATTGCTCCTTCTGGCTGCATGTCCTTGTGTTAGTAGAACTGTAGTTCTTGCCATGCTGTGGTTTTGCTGTACTTTTAGATTGCTGTATTTTTAGATGCAAGTGAAGAAGCACTGACAGCAGAGCTCTGGCTTGCAGCCATCCTAGCCTGACAGAGCTCAGTGCTTCACAAGTGGGGTTTGTCAGCTTGTGAAGTCAGTGAGTGCTGTAGACCTGTGCGTGTGTAGAGATGCTCCCCTTCATTTCTAAACAAGCGTTTTATAAGCAGGGACAGCAAGCAGATGAAATGTCTGAGCACAGAGGGTCCCATGTTAGTTGTCTGGTTTGCAGTTGCTCTGTAATAACTCTGCGTTTTGATACGGTATCAGTTTTCCTGGTAACTGCTGATTGCAAGTACACATGAGCAAATTCACTACTGGGCAACAAATTCTTGGAGTATTAATTATGATACTGCACCACAGGCAGGCCTTATCTTCAGTGAGAACGTGGTTTTGTTTTACCAGAAAGTATAAAACTGACCAAGAGGGACTTGGGAAGTTGGTTGAGGACCTGGGCTTGCTCAGTCTCCTCAGATCTTGTTTTTTGATTTGTGCTCAGTCTTTGCCTTCCTTTTCATTTCTTGTACCATACTTTCTTTCTGTTCTGTCCCTACTTGTGCTAGAATGCCTCCTGCCTTCTTGGGGTTTAGTTTGAAGGGAGTGGCAGGGAAAGGCATTTCCCACCCTCATCTTGAAATCAAGGAGGTTGATGAGTGCAGGGTTTTTGTGAGAGATTCTCTTTATCTCTGGAAGAAATGTGAAGCCCCACGGCTTTGCAAACTATGGGGTATCTTTTTGTAATTTTATGGAACTTCTTTTCTATGAAGTCATTTGTAGGAAAGCTTCATGCAGAGAAATGCTCTGGCTTGAAATAGATTATCGTGATGTGGATATTGTTATCTTTTTCTACTCCGTGTGCAGAAAGCCTAAATTGTAGAAAGAGTGCTTTCAAAGCCTGCCAACGCAAGTGGACAATGGCATTCTTCTGTTCATACCTTTCAAGAGCTGTGGGAGGAGAGCAAAAAGAATAACAAAGTTATCCATTGACTGTCTAGAATCACAGAATCACCAATGTTGGAAAAGACCTCCAGTATCACCCTGTCCGACTGCCCACCTATCACCAATATTTCCCACCAAACCTTTCCCTTCAGTACAACATCTAAATGGTTCTTTCTTGAACAACCCCCAAGGTTGGTGACTCCACCACCTCCCTGGGCAGCCTGTTCCAGTGCCTGACCACTCTTTCAGCGAAGTTGCTGTTCCTAATGTCTAACCCGAACCTGTCCTGCTGTAACTGGAGGCCATCCCCTTCAGTCCCATCACTGGTTACACAGGAGAAGAGGCTGACCCCCACTTTGCTGCAGCCTCCCTTCAAGTAGTTGCAGAGCAATATGGTCTCCCCCAAGCCTCCTCCAGACTGAACAATCACAGTTCCCTCAGCCAGTTTCCTCGTAAGAGGAAACAAATCCGTTGCAGCAGATTTTCTAAATGTTCTTTCCAATTGCTGTGCCTCCAGAAGTCATCAACACATTTCTTCCTGAATTACTGTTTTTCATAGAGGCTGGGGGGTGGATGGACAGTGGCAGTCTCAATGTATCGATCAAAGGCAAATGAGTTTTTATGTGCTTACAGAGGTCCTATTTATCATAGCAAAATATTTATTTAGGGCATGAATAAGGTGTTCACTTCTACCAGGAAATGTATTTTGAAAACATAAGCCAGAGTTTTGAAATCTGATTTTCTCTGTATCTGAGTTTTAGCTGAAGCTGGGGAAAGAGCACAGAAGCGATAAAAGCCTTTTATTTTGCAGTACCTGGATGCCTGGACATACTACTTTCTCTCAATGCCTGGATATTCAGGATAATCTCAGTGTCCAGTAGAGGGAGTGCACACTGCATGTTCAACATTTTTCCCTATGCTACCTTTATCGAAAGCCAGCCATCATCTCAGCCTGTGTGTCCAGGTAAACCTAACAGCAGAACACTAGAGACACTTTGAGTTAGTTCTTGACTATTTAAATGAATTATTGTAGAAGAACAATTGCAATTATTGGCTGAGATTGGTATTTTAATAGAAATGCCTTTTTCTCAAGGTTTAATTCTTCTGTTGGAATAACCTGCTGATGGCTAAAATGTTCATTGAATTTTTTTTTCCTGATTAGAGAATTTTATTTCTTAATACCTTCTCCCTTTGTTCTTACAATTCTAAACTTATCTAGTGTTTGATTTGCAGCTGAGTAGATACAAAGGTCTTCCAATTTTAACAGTTATTTAGAGCACAAGTGCATTATTTAAAACACACACAGTGCTTTCCGTTTACATGACTTTCCATTTGGATTATATTTGAAGTTCTCACATAATTAATAGAAATGTAGCTCAGCTCATTAGCTATGTTTTGTACATGAGAGTTTATTTATCTCTCATGTAATTGCCTTTGGGAAGCCATAAAGGTTTAATACTTAAGCTGACTGAAACTTAACCAGATAGAAGCTAGTAGGCAATATGATGATGTGAGAAACATCCTGCTCTTCTCTCCATCAGCAGTGTGGTAATACACCAGGCCTATTATACTTTGTATTTTTAATTTCAACTCATACTAACAACCAGAAATATATAATCTTTCATCAACTGTCTTCATTATTTTTTGTTTCACCCGTCCTTATCTTCTGTCAAATCTAAATGTATGCTTGGATCTTGATTTATCCATGTACTTAACTTTACCCATGTGAAACATCTGGTTGGATTCAGTAATGTCATTAATAATTAGATTTGGAGGAGGCTGTTCTTGTGTAGTCCAGTATCTGATCAAGCCCTAAACCCTACTGCAATACAGCTGAAAGAACAACATCAGAAAATTTTTACAAATATTGTCTCCAAATTAAATATTTCCTGGTCAGATGTTTGCTCTTAGAATATTTTACTATGCAATAAGATTAAATTTTTACTATGTAATCAATTAAGCCATGAGCTCTACCAATTGATTACAAAACCATTGCTGCTTTTTTTCTCCCATATCTTCAACTACAGCTTGGCTTTTTCTCAGTGCTAATGAGTTATTTCTTTGTAATCGTTTTATAACTCCATGAACAGCTCGTTAAGTATGTGTTTAGTTGGATCGAAGGCAAGGACTGTTTTCTTGTTCTGTAGCCACAGAAAATCTGCTGCTTTCTTCCTGCCTTCCAGCTCTGTGTAACAGCTTCTTGTGCTCACACCCTCATTTTTTTCTCTTCATTTTATAGAAGCTGCCTCTGAGGAGTATTGTCATTCTCCCCACATGCCTTTAAATTGCACACAAAATCGCAAACTCTTAACAAAGTGTCC